TATATATGTGTGTATATAGGTGTGTATGAGGTAAGCATGCTGATGATAAATAGCCCTTGTGGGTTGTTGTAGTTGTGGGGCCTCGCTTTCTCTGCGGGGTATATACTCCACACACACTACCCCTAATGTTTTAATTATATACCGTCTTTGGTTAAGGGGTTGTTTTTCGTAATACTGAACTATATTCAATCCCAGCCAATAGAAAGGGATATACTACCACGTCACTCATGCCCTCACCAAGTACATACCTCCAACCACAACTTGCTCGTACAAACCCCTTACCCTTTCATACATGCACACCCAACATCTCTCAAACCCTAAAACCCTACAACCCTAAAATCCAGGTGTATGGCCGCCAGCAGACAGTCGCGCACAGTTCTTGAGTGCAGTGAAACGCTCGGCCGATGTGGTCCGTTCAATGGTCACTACTCTGCACGACGCCATAGCGCAACAGACACCCAGGATAGACGAGCTCAAAGAACGGGCTGCGGCCTACGAGAAGAAGGTCAGGGTTCTAGGGTTTTAGGTGTGAGGGTTTTAGGATTTTTGTGATTTTTTTGGCTAGGCAAATTGGTCTCGACCAACTTGGCTGGCTGTGGATATTACAGAATTTAGGGTTTATAATTTTTGGGGTTTTTTGTGGTTGAGGGTTTGGATTGTAAACTACTACAACCCTATTGTAAACTATAGTGAATTATAGAGAACGTGTGACAACCGCTTCTCAGCTGAACACCTTTGTGAGTCTCACATTTGACATTAGACGCGTTGTCAAAACCACAACAGAAAACCCAGAGCAACCAGATGAAGAATCTCAATCTGTGTCTGTCCAACGATCAGGACACACTGCTGTGCTCACCTAGTGTGCGTGAAATGCCGGTAAGCGAAGTAGTGGTGTGGTATGTAGTGCTGTGTAAGAAGCGTTGAATGTTAGTATGTAGTGGTGTGTGCTAATAATTGGTGTATGATAAGAAGCGTTGCATGTTAGTATGTATTGTTGTGTGTTAATAAGTGACGTATGATAAGAAGCGTTGTATGTTAGTATGTATTGTTGTATACTAACAAGTGGTGTATGATAGGACAACTAGTATGTTGTTGTATGCTAAGAAATGTTGTGTGTTAGTTGTTAGCATATGCTTATATACATGTACAGTAGAACTGCGTATCCGGAAATGATCATCGGCCTTTTATACCTACCTACATTCATCCCTTTCATACACCGACCTTTATAGCTACATACATACATCCCTTCCATATTCTGACCTTTCATACCTAACTACATACATTTCCTTGCTAATATACAACATGGACCGCAGGAGCCTGCTTTCGCGCAGCTCTTGGCCTTCCCCTTGACAGCTGACATCATCTGGGAGAACGCCCCGCTCTCAAAGAGTGTCAAACCTTCTGACACTGACACTGACACTAGCAGTGTCAAAAGTTCTGACACTGCTGACACCCAAACGTCACTCACCTCTGTGGGAAGTGACACCGATGTTAAAACGACACCTGCCCTCCCCAGAGTCACGGGCGGCTCACTCAAAGCACTTGTACTACGACTAACATTCCACGAGCACATTGGTATGTACCAGTGGTATATAT